TAAATTCTGGAAGAAGGTTGCTGTAGGAATAGAGTCGGTGAAGGAGTTCAGGGCGCATGTTGGAGAAATCAAGAGTGTCAGTGTCAGCCAGGATGGACGCAGCTTTGCTACCGCTGGAGCGGACAAGACGATCAAAATCTTCGATGTCATTACGTTTGGTATAGTCCTTGGAACCAGTGCGAAGATTGCACGCTAACACACCGCTTAGATCTGCTAGCGATTCTCCAGCTGGACTTCACACCTAGATCAATATGTTGGGTCCATAGGCGCGGCGCCTCGCTACCCTTACTTGCTGTCTCAAATGAGGCCGACCATATAATCAATATATATGATGGCAGGGGTGAATCGCAGACTTCAATACACCGAATTACCAGTTTGCACAAAAGCTCAGTGAGAACAATTGCGTACAACAATGGCTATGACTGTGCTATCTCTGCTGATGATAATGGTATGATTGAATATTGGAGCCCCGGTGGAAACTACGAGAAACCGGACAATCTTTTCAAGTATAAAAGCTCAACGGACTTGTTCGAGTTCAAGAAAGCGAAAAGTTTGCCAACTTCCATCACCATCTCACCTTCTGGTACACAGTTTGCAACATTTTCTTTTCCTGATCGAAAGGTCAGAGTCTTTGACTTTGCTACTGGCAAGCTCTACCGCACGTATGACGAGTCACTATCAACTGTCACCGACATGCAACAAGCCGGTACGGCGTTGCAGAAGCTCGAAGATGTGGAGTTTGGCAGGCGACTAGCTGTTGAACGGGAACTGGAAAATCCAGCATTTCAAAATAAGATCAACATAATATTCGACGAGTCAGGTAATTTCATCATCTATGGCTCTCTCCTGGGATCGAAGGTCATCAATACCCTGACCAATCGCGTCGTCAAAGTCTACGGCAAGGATGAATCGTTCCGCCCATTGAATCTGGCTATTTACCAGGGTCAACCTCAAAAGAAAGGTGTTGTCACGGTCTCCATGGCTGCCAGCGCCAATCCTCTCCTCCAAGAAGCCGAAGAGCGAGATCCGATGCTCGTTTCCACTGGCTCAGGAAAAGTCCGCTTCTATATTTTCACCAACGAGACCGATATCAGCAAGTCTTCTCGCGACGTTCAAAATGAAAAGCCCAGGAATCTCAATTCTCGCCAACAAGTCGAAGCCAAGCCTGCGGAGAGTGGTACCGCAGCCATTCTACATACAACATATGGCGACATCCACATCCGTCTTTTTCCCGAAGCTGCCCCCAAAGCTGTGGAGAACTTCGTCACTCATAGCAAGAACGGCTACTACAACAATACAATATTCCACCGCGTGATCCGGAAATTCATGATCCAGTGTGGCGATCCGCTAGGTGATGGGACTGGTGGTGAAAGCATCTGGGGCACGGAATTTGCGGATGAATTCTCTGCGCTCAAACACGACAAAGCTTACACGGTTAGCATGGCAAATGCAGGGCCAAATACGAATGGCAGCCAATTTTTCATCACGACAGAAAGGACGCCTTGGTTGGACAGGAAGCACACAATCTTTGGGAGAGCGGTGCAAGGGCTCGATGTGGTGCATCGGATCGAGAATGCCAGAGTCTACAAGGAGAAACCGGAGGAAGATATCAAGATCGTCAGCATTGATGTTGCTTAAAGCGGGACATTGATACCGAGGAGTTGAGATGTTCATCTCTGAGGCCTAGCTAGCCTCACAACGCTAGAGTGGGCTTTTGCCCATCTGCCCTAGATTGCCAGGGGCATTTCTCCATTTCTGTTTGGTTACGATGATTCAAAGGCAAGGGCTCTTTTTCCAGAAACAAAAGGTTTGAGGTCAATTTTCGGTTTTCAAGGGAGCTGGTCGTCATAGCTTTACGGCGAGTATATTGTTGTTGGCAGTCTGGACTCAGGGGTCATATGAGTTCTCGGCTGAAGCGTGCATGCCCGGCATCTCTGGCGAATCATGCCAATGCTTGTTCCAATTGGGGAATACAGAGTGGAACAGCTCTCGTGGAATTCTTTGATGCTCCCTTTGTTTTTTTCTGCACTTGAAGGCGTACCTCCACTTGATCAGGCTTCAAGGACCGACCGTACGCATCAATCCGCAGTCTGATGCATTTCGTTGCAGGCTCCTGACGCGGTTTTCTGCCAAATAACCTCGCATACTGCAATTTCTAATTCACTATTGCAGCCATCTTCACACCGAACAAATTCCGCTTTGAGCTGTCCGAGAGAGATCTCAGCGACGTTGAGACGCCCACGACTTCAGTCTATCCCATAAACTGGAGTCACAGGGTATCAGGGTTTTCATCAAGTGAGAAGTAGGAGGCGAGCCTTGCAATCGGACCGCAAGTCAAGATCTGGACCCTGGAGCGCCTACTAAATCGTAGTGGCTTCATATCGGTCTATATCTGAAGGCCCATGCGACCCAAGCTGGCGGTAGCCGTTCGCTGATAAGCAGCCTCACACGCGACTGCCGCTTTCAGTTACTGATTCTTAGGGTGGCTGCGGAAAGACAGTTGTTATGAAGCATCATAGCATGTCTACGCTGTACTTCGAAGCAGAGACTTTGGCATTGTTAAACTTCATAAAATCATGCTGTATGTCACTACGAACAAAGCTGTCTCTCGAATTTGCCGGCAAGGAAGGCACCCACCTATCTTGGGGATCGAGCGCTTTTCTTCCAAGACCCTCTTCCGCCTCTCGCGAGATGCGTCATGGTCTGATATTGTACGCTTTGTACCTGCAGAAAGACCCTGAGGCTAAGACCCATGAGACTGGTTTGATAAACGCACTGCCCGTGCGTTTTACTAATGCACCCCATTTCCACTTTCTTTCAGGTGCAGTCTTTGATGAGCACCCATCTGTCCCAACTTAGTCATGAAGTTCCTTCGTCTCTCTGTGCTACTGACCACTGCGAGAGTTGTCTTATCAGCTTTGGCAGCATCCAATGCCCAGCCAAATCTCTCGACCCTCCTTGCGTCGCCTCTCAGCAATACAATTACCAACGCCACAGGATCAAAGTAGGTCTCTTGGATGCCTCGACGTAACATCTTCAAAGTTTTCTCGAGTCTTAAACTATCCCACAGACTGACACTCCCCAGTCCCATCCAGAGATCAAAGTCCTATCACGTGCCCAACTCCCCTACCACCCTCATATTCATCGGCTACGCAGCAGCACCTACCCTCGCCCCTACCGTCACTTACCAGACTCTGCTTACTGCACTCAATTCCATCTACCACTCCGCCATCGTCAATCACGGCGATGGCCTCATCTTCATCGACACAGTCTCATGGTCTTACGGTGGAGCCATTGCCACCATTGAAAACCACGGCGACGCCCGTACCGGACAGTTGACGTGGAGCATGCTCGCCGATACCATGTATGGAGTCGGAGCCTTTTTCGAGAGAGAGGCGTGCTGGATCGGGGAGTGGATGATTGAGGTTGAGGGGTTGGGGAATATTGGGAGTGGGTTTATCGGTGCACGGGTGGATGAGAAGCTTGAGGGTACGCTGGCTGGGACGGCGGTTGAAACGGCTTGAATGTAGGTAGGAGAAAAGGATAGAGGGGACTTTGTAAATTTTGAACCCGTGTCCACGTCCAGTCGTCGGTTTTCTCGATATGCTTCCAAGATCAACGGCTCTATATATGCTTCTTCTTGCCTTCGTATCCTTCCAGGCACCGTTCTCCAAAATTTTCAAGGCCCTCACCCTGCTCCTGATGGTCCAGACTTGGCATTCACAATCATCTCTTCGCCATCTCCTACGTTCACCTTTCGCGCTCACAATGCCACACTTCACGAAATCGTCTTTCAAGTCCTGGGTACATTGAAAAAAGGGTCAAGCGATCCAAATGGTTCTCTACCGTGCTACAGAAGCCATAACAATCCTGTCTGCACCATCTCGCAAAAGTATCAAAAGGCTCGATGATCCAGTCTCCCTCGCTCCACGAGACTTTCGCAACGTCCGTGCTCGCACCACGCCGCGACCGTGATCAGTAGTACCAAATCACCCCGTCCTCGTCGACCTTCACCCTGTTCATCCGGGACGATTTCACCCCGCCTTTTCCTCTTGCGGTCAGCTTCTCATATCCGCGATTGTTCCGTTGGGAGCTGTGAGCCCCTGCCCATTTGGGGCGGCGATTCGGTTTGGCGTTGGTGGAGCGATATCCGGAGTCCGTTTCTCGTGACGGTCGTGAATGTCCGCAGCCCATCTTTGTGGCTGTTTTGTTTTTTTACTTCGGGGTCGGGTTGGGGAACGGAAATTGATGTTGGTGAGTTGGGAATCTAAAATGAAGAGGGGATGTTGAGATGTGGGCTCTGGGTATAGGGAACATAAAGGCAAGTGCTGTGATCGCAAACGTCAAGTCTCTTTGCTACATGTATGTCCAGCTCCTTTGACACGGCAATTTTAGGTCGTGAAACGCGTTGACGACAATGAACAGACAAAGGAATACCGATGCGATTGTATTATCCCAGACAACCTACCACACAAGACAATGAAACGCTGCCCTCCTCCCTGCCTTTGTCCGCTCCCTGAGCGATTCACATCACAAACGGAACAGCTCCTGGCTGTCAGTGTCAAGGCATGCAGTCTGCCCCTTTGGAAGAATACTCGGTCGACCTTTTCCGTCGGCCGGTAGAACCAAACAGCGTGATGAGGAGGAGGAAAACATATAGGATGCCAAGACCGAGAAGAATCGGATGGCAGCTGTTGGGATTCGCGCACCCCAGTGGACACTTGGGAGCCGATGCGGGAGCCGCTCTTGAGAGGACGTGTACTGCGCCCATGCTTGCGGATGTCGAGTATACCGTAGTAGTGGTGGAGACTGCGCTGTGGTGGGAAATGGGAGAATGCTGGATATAGGCGATGGTGCAGGTATGCCTCGGCGCAAGGCCGTTCCTTCCTTCCTGTTTATATGTACCCAAGGAGTACAATAGCTTTGATGGCGACAATGGCGCGAGAAAATAATCATTGTGCTACACAATACCTTTACTGTTGGAGAGCAGAACAATCGTTATGGTTCGCCTTGGAGGACTCACCGAGGTCGAGAGCATTCTTGAACGTCGTCGAGAACAATTCCTTGGGCCTCGATCCATTCATCAACCACCACAGTCGAACAGTCGCACAAAGGAGCTCTCGTCGAAATTTGCACGCTTTTTCCTCACAGCAGCCCCAACCATACCCATACCATATGAGTACATTAGCAATTTCCGCCCTTGAATAATTCTCAGCATCTCGGATTCTGAAAACTGCACCCGCTAAATGTTGAACGGTACATAGGTCTGAGATTCGGCGGTGCTGGGAATTCACCCCCTCACCTGACTTTTCGGCCTACGCGCATCACTGTATAATCGGTCAAAGTCTCGGTTTATCATATGTCATTTGTCATCAAGATATCAAACTACAAGTGTGATAGTAACTCAAAGCTCAAAGCACGGATCACAAACTCAATTCAGCATGACTCGTAGATCCTCAGATTTCAATTGCGAGGAGTACTTGCTAAGTTCATGTTGTTACTATGACGGAGAATATGCAAACGGATGTATATACCGTTGAATTGAATTATACCCCGTTAGAAAGAAAAGCTAACGTGCTTTACCAGATTGAAAGATTGTACCAGTGTCGGATACTCCCCAAGACAGAAAGAGATTAACAGATCAAAACTCCAAGACGTCATGACTCGACTACCCAAAACCCCTCACCCTCACCCTAATGGGCCACGATGAGCATATCCTGCGTATCGACCCGCAAACTCTGCGCATCCGCCATCCTGACCGCCTCCGCATCCGCCGCCGCCGGCGTCACGCCCGCCACGCTCCCGGCATCGATATAGGCGTCGAACTCCGCCGTGACCTGGAAGAAATCGACGACGACCGGCGGGGCCTCGCCGTCGCAGTAGACGAAGCCCAGCCCACCGTCGGAACCCTGCCGGATGTAATCCGGGTACGCGAGCAGGGCGGCGCGGTTCGGCGTCTGGGGCCAGGCGGCGTTGGCTTTGGCGAGGGTGTCGGGCTCGCCGGAGGCGGAGGGGCGGCCGTCGGCGAGCCGGCGGTGGTCGGACGGTCCGAGGGTGCCGTCGCTCATGCCGAGTTGGTAGTCGGCGTCGTACCACGTCGATCCCGCCGTGGCGGCGAAGTTGACCTCGTACCGCGCGCCCCGGACGCCGGCGGTCCAGGCGGTCAGGGCGCCGTTGAAGGTGGGGTCGAGGGCGACGCTGGTGGTTTGGCCCGCTTTCACCGCGATGCCGGTGCCGAGCCCGCAGGGGGTGGTCATGGGAAAGGTCCCGCTCGACACTTCCGCCATGTAGCAGATGTCTTTGGCGGCGGCGTTGGTGAAGGTGATGGAGCTGGCGGTGGCCGTTGCCAGAACGGCGGCCAGGGCGGCGAGGGTGCGGAGTGATGGCATTCTTTTTTGGTTGCTGTCTGCGATCTTTATATATTTAGGTTGGGTTCGGAGAGTGGCGGTGTCGAGCTGTTGGGAGGGATGCGTGGAAGTGATGCTGAGGAGCTGAAGAAGAACAAGAGGCGAAGGGTATATATATGATGGCAACAGAAGGCAAGTATAACGCCTGCGAATTACAATGAGGTTCGTATTCTGTTGTGAAGAACAATGTGCACGAAGGCCAATGTGCACCATTGTGCAAGACACATTGGCAAAGGAACATTGACATATTAGCGAGTACAAAGCTTTTCGCGCGATGAGCGGCATCGTCTGGTTCGCGCACCATGAGACATGTACCGAAGGGAAACAAGAGACAATGAGATATTAAGGAGAGACATAGGAGAGCTTGTTCGGAACAAAGACAGCGAGTCGACTGAAAGAAGATTGGCATTATACTGTCTGACGACGACACATTGACCAAAACCGCGTACTTAGCTGTCCCAGATCCCATCTGCTATTACACACCATATCCATTTCCCTTCTCTGTACAACTTTTCAAAACCATTACCGCATCCTCAACTTCCCCAACCTCCAACCAAAACACCAAACAACCCTCCTCAACCAAACCACCGAAATGGGCTGCGCACCGTCCCGTCCCTCGAACCCCGTCCCCCGGCCGCGAAGGCAGACCGATGGGCCCCGAAAGCCCAACAACAGCCGCCTATCCCGCCCGTTCGACCCCAACATCCCTCTATACGTACCCCATTATCAACACCCGTCCGTACCGCCCGTTGATCCGGCAAGGTACGGGGACGCATACGCGCAGCTGAACGGCCGCAGCGGGCAGAAGCGCGCGCCGACGCCGTACAAAGCACGCCAGAGTGTACGGCCGGTCGATCCGGAAAGGTACGGGGACGCGTACGCGCAGCTGAACGCCCGCAGTGGACAGAAGGGCGCGCAGGCCTCGCGCAAGGATCAGAAGGTGCAGTATGGCCAGGGCCCCAGGGTCAAGAGTCAGGCGGTGCATTATTCCAAGGGGGATACGCTGTACTTTTCGAGTTAGTGCACCCATGCTGTAATCTTTAGCTTTGAAAGTGCGCGTTCATGGTCCTTGATACTTGAAGATGCCATGTGTGAACGCTATACCTTTGGTTTCTTCCGTATCACCGTGTCCAACCTCGTAGCGACTCTCATCAAGTCATTCATTGAAGCAAGCCATTACCCCCATCGAGTCTGGCAAGCTGGCCAAAAAGTCGCAGTCTTGGAGCGCCGGCCTAAATTGGTATCTGCAAGTTCATGGACGACTAGTATGCCGTTTCATGAGTACATGACCTCTCGTTTTGCGCAGGGATCTCAAGCTCGGGTAAGCCAGTACCATGGCAACTGCGCCAATCTTTCGGAAAATGCGCCTTTGGTGACCGGACCCCTGGCTTGTGTCTTTCATCTTGAGACAAGGGAGGTAGGGAAAAACATCGAGGAACGCTTTGATGAGACAAGACAATGAACAATCGACAAGTCATCCACAAAGCCTCGATCACGAAATGAACAAAAGTAGCAACAACAAACTTTATCCCATAAAGAGACACCACAACAATGGCGCCAAATGCTGAGCACTTGTATATACTCCTCGCATCTGTACTGTTAACGCTCATCTGAGATATCGTTCGTACAATCTCGTCTCGCCTTGAAGATACTCACCCCCCTACCCAAGCCGAGAGCGTCAAACAGTTCCCATTCTCGTTCCATCATACCAGCGATCAGTTCTTCACCCAGAGCCACACGCATCAAAATGGGCTGCATCGCCTCTCGGCCCGTTCGAAGCATTACCAAGTTCAGACCTCTAGCCGTTCAAACTACTCTCTGGCTCGCCCGCCTGACCGAGATCCTTTCCTGGCTCAAAAACCGCATACCCTCCCGTCCCGTCA